GGTGGGGCCTGGCAGAGGTGTTTTGGTCTTGGGGGTGGATCCCCCATGAATGACTCAGTGCCCTTTCCATGGCAGTGAGTTCTCACGCTGTTGGTTCATGTGAGAAACTGGTTGGTTGAAGGAGCCTGGCACCTCCTCTGCTCTCTCTTACCACGTGACACGCCTGCTGCCCATTTCCCTTCCACCATAAGTAAAAGCTTCCTCAGCAGAAGGCAAGCAGATGCTAGTGCCATGCTTGTACAGCCTGTAGAACTGTGAGCTCTAGATGTAAGGGAGAATAAGGACCTAAAAGAGGTCCTTTTAATAAGAAAACGAGGTTTAGGACCATCAGCCAAAAGGTGAGTTCAGCAGACAGATGTCCCTCTCCTTATCCAGCCCTAACTCCCCTTGGAAACACCATGCCCAGAAAAAGAAATCAGAAAGAATACAGCCCCTTGGGTTTGACCCCCTTGGGTCAGTCAAATGTGGGAATTTGAATTTGGAGGCCTGAATTGTCCACCACCAACCAATTATATCCCATGCTCAGGCTATACCACAAATAATCCAAAAAAGCAAATTACTCATTTAGATTTAGACATGTGCATTTTATAATTTTCATTTGAATGTGGACTCACATAACATTCTACTCATTCAACAAGTGTGTTCCTCTAAGGCAGCAAGCTCATTACTAAGAAGAGAGAAAGAGTGGAATAAAACATGGTACATATCACCAAGTGACTCAAAATAGAGTGAGGGAAGGTAACATGCACACACCGACCAGAACGTAGGCTGAAGGGGTTCCCTGCTCTAGTAAAGGTGCAGAGAGATTAATGCCATCTGGAATCACCAGAGGTTTCACTGAAGAGACGCCATTTCTCAGAAATGGAGAATCTGTAACATTATCTGACCTTTCCCCTCTTTTCCACTCACTCAACTCTTTTTCTCTACATTTATACAAAACAGGTACATTTGACAGCTACCCTCTCTCTTGTTGCTTAATTCAAATCACTAACTATAACACCATTTCTTTTGTATAAGATATAAATTAGTGTTAGGTATATTTTCAGTATTAAATGTATTACTATAAGGCCTGGTGCAGTGGCTCACACTTGTAATCCCAACACTTTGAGAGGCTGAGGAGGGTGGATTGCTTGAGCCCAGGAGTTCAAGACCAGGTTGGGCAACATGGTCAAAGCCCGTCTCTACAAAATATACAAAAGTTTGCCAGTCCATGGTGGCATGCACCTATAGTCCCAGCTACTCAGGAGGCTGAGGTGGGAGGATTGCTTGAGTCTGGGAGGCAGAGGTTACAGTGAGCTGAGATCGCACCACTGCACTCTCCAGCCTGGGTGACAGAGCCAGACCATTTCAAAAAACCAAAAATGTATTACTATTTCTTTTATTAAAGTTGTATTTATTCAAGGGTTGTTCCATTATACCCATAAGCCACTGAAATATTTCCAAAATTCCCGTAAATTAGCTTATAATCTATATCTTCTCAATTATTTCTTAAACATAGATTCCACTTATTGGTTCAGATTTTTGGTTAAGAAAAAAAGTCACCACAAAATAATCATGAAAAAAGCCTGCCTAGGATTTCAAGTCTATAGTTGAAAGTAATGATAATCCAAACACACACAAAAAAACTAAGAACTGTCATTATTTTGTTTGTGGGTGTGTTTTGTATCTACTGTTTTTCATCTAAACCTGGCCCACATGCAGATGGGCACAGAGTTGCTGCCATTGATGGAGCAAAAGATACAGCACGGTATCACAGAACCTAAACCTGTAGTAGTAGAGGTTTATCTATATTTACACTTAGGTTTTTGACACACTTGGGGATAAAGAGTGCAAGTTTTATAGTCAAAAAAATGTATGTTTGAACCTGGGCTTCACCCTTCCAAGCAATCACATTCAGCAATCATTTCAGGCCTCTGAGCTTGTTTCCTCACAGGTATAATTTTCCTATTTCACAGAGTCAGTATAAAGATTACTGACAACTTAGGCAAATCATCTAGTACACTGCCTGGCACAGAGCAAGCTATCAATGAATGATCGTTAAAATAATCAGTATTATTATTATTATGAACTCTAACTGGAAGCCAATGAGGCAGGCACAGGCACATCAAGCCACTTTGGGGACCCGAAAAGCATAAAGTACAAAATACAAAGTAAACTACTTTTTACCATGCATAAGAACAACCAGAATATGTGACTTCAATAATTATGACAACTCTCAAAACAAGTCCAGTACAGTGGTTGAGAATATACACTTTGGAAACTACTCCAGAAATTCCACTTTACCACTTAACAGCTGTGAGACTTTGAGCAAGTTGCTTAAAGAAGATTTCCTTTCCTCAACCAAAACAGAGCTAATAACAGTCCTTTAAGTACTTAGTGGGCACAGTGGCTCACACCTATAATCCCAGTACTTTGAAAGGCCAAGATGGGAGAATCACCTGAGTTCAAGACCAGTCTGAGCAACACAGCAAGACCCCATTTCTACAAAAAAAAATTTTAATTAGCCAAGCGTGGAGGTGGGTGCCTATAGTCCCAGCTACTCGAGAGGCTGAGGCAGGAAGATCACCTGAGCCCAGGAGTTTCAGGCTGCAGTGAGCTATGATCATGTCACTGCACTCCAGCCCGGGCAACAGAGCAATACTCTGTCTCAAAAAAATAACAAGTACTTCGTGGGGATCTTGTGATGGTTAAAAGAAATAAGATAACCCGTGGAATGCTCTTAGCAAAGCATCTATCAATAGTAAGTACTCCAAATGGTAACTATCAGACTGTCCATGAAACCCGTGGCACCCACAAGGAGTTACTGCAAAGAGTCTGAATAAAGCTTGCAACACTAGTGTATGTATTTCAGACAGATGTACTATTTTTCTATAGCACAGTTCAATGTGACTAACAAAATGCTAATTACATTAAGAGTTCTACTCATTATAGCTTTTAAAAACAGGTAATGATCGTTGAAAAATGTTCAAACAATAGAGAAATATATAAAGTAAAAAGTGTGCTCATTCATCCACCCCGCTAACCCAAGCCTCAGGCCCCAAGTCCATTTTCCAGGGTAAGTCACTGGAAAGTACTGTAGTAGGCACTCTTCAGATCCTATCTTTTAACACATACATAAAGTTGGGGAAGCGGGGTTGGATTTTTTACAAAATGGGATAATACTATATGCATTATTGGTTTATTCAACAATATTTCACAGATACCTTTCCATATCAATGTAAAAAATCTTAACTCATTCTTTTTAGTTACTGTTTAATGCTTTGAATTATAGATAAATTGTAATTTATTATATAATTATCTATATTATACTAGGCTTTTAGTTTACCTCTAATTTTTTGCTGTTGAAAATAATCCCACAAGCCTGAGCCAGGAGGTCAAGGCTACAGCAAGCTGTGATCTCACTACTGCACTCCAGCTTGGGCAGAAGAGTAAGATCCTATCTCCAAAATAAATAATCCCACAATGGGCCAGGCACAGTGACTTACATCTATAATCCCAACACTTAGGGAGGTCAAGGCAGGAGGCTCGCTTGAGGCAAGGAGTTCAAGACTAGCCTGGACAACATAGCAAGACCCCATCTCCACATAAAATTTAAAAATTAGCCAAGCATAGTGGTGCATGCCTGTAGTCCCAGCTATTTGGGAGGCTGAGGTGGGAGGATTGTTTAAGCCAGGTGTTCGAGGTTACAGTGAGCCATCATGCCACAGCATTCCAGGCGTGGCACCAAGGCAAGATCCTGTCTCTAAAAACAGTAATAATAATCATCATCATCTCACAATGAACACCTTGTTTGAAGGGCATTCAACACATGTGTAGCTATTTCTGTTGAACAGCTTCCTAAAAGTGGATCTGCTAAGTCAAAGGTTTTGCACATTTTATATGTTGATAAGAAATGCCAAATTATCCTCTAAAAAGGAAGTACCCATTGTATTCTCTATAAGCAACCATTTTCATAAAAAACAGAAACAAAAAAGTATCCTATCATGCAGAAAAACTGAAATTTTTCAACGTTAAGAAGTGGCCCTCTGGCCAGGCTCAGTGGCTCATACTTGTAATCCCGGCACTTTGGGAGGCTGAGGTGAGTGGATCACTTGAGGTCAGGAGTTCAAGACCAGCCTGGCCAACATGGCAAAACCCTGTCCCTACTAAAAATACAAAAATTAATTGGGCATGGTGGCACATACGTGTAATCTCAGCTACTCAGGAGGCTGAGGTATGAGAACTGCTTGAACCCAGGAGGCAGAGGTTGCAGTGAGCTGAGATTGCACCACTGCCCTCCAGCCTGGGCAACATAGCAAGACTTTGTGGCAAAAAAAAAAAAGTAGCCCTCATCTTAAAAAAAAAAAAAACTACAGTTCTAAATCCTTACTTCATCCCTCTCAGCATCTGAGCCCCTATGCTACTGACTATCTCATCTTAGCATGAGTCATTCCATGATGTCCTCTGCAATGACCTGGTTCATGTCAAAACAGTTTTCTAGTCCCCAAGTCACCCTGGCCCTGTCCCCAGGTCAACTGTGGGGAGAAAGGAAGCACTAAAGACCTGAAGTGTTCCTGTCACCATCTAGCATCCCTGCCAAGCCCCACTAAAACACAATTGTTCCATGTAATGCTCACGGTAAAAGCTCTACTTTGCTTCCATGTTTTAAAACAGCAATGGATTAAAATCTCTTAATCAATAATCACTGGCCTACAGGTAGTTTACACGTTTCATTTTGTCCCGCAATATTATTACAATCAGGAGCAAGAGCAGATAAAGGTCATGCTGGTAATTAAAGCTATATTGTAGAAATATGCTCACCCAAGATATGATTAAATAAGAAAATATCACTCAGTTCAGTATCATCATTAAACTTGTATTAATTTATAAATATTTAAATGTACCATATGATGGTCATAAATAATGTGTTTTTGTCAGTTTCTAAAATAATGCAACCCATAAACCCTTTAAAAAATGACTGCAGAAAGGAATAGTCAAGAAAGTATATAAGCCAGACTTACATTCAAATGCTGTAGTTGTTGCTTCAGGCAGAACCTGGCCTATCACATCCTAAACAAAGAAAGAATAAAGAAACACAATTAGCCATCTTCTTTATTGCTAACATGTGGCAAATCCTAGAGGAAATATGAGAACCTGGGAAAGATTTTTGAAACGTTAGCATAAACTATAAAAACATTAGCTCATAATCACACTTAGCCCAGCAACATAAACCCAGAGTTTAAATCTCTATTCCAGGAAGAAAAATCTTTAAGAAACCTTTTCCACATTTTATTAATAACATAATATTTTATTCTCAACTCAACAGTGTAAATACAAATACACTGTTGTGTATTTACAAAAACTTGGTTTCTTCTATGGGAGGCTGTGGAATACAATACAGCTGAAAGAGAAAGGGGTTTTGAGAGTCAGACTGACGTAGGTATGAATCTCTGCTCTGCACTTATCATTAAACGAATGATTTGGAAAAAAAATCACCTAACCTCTCTGAGCCTCAATCTGATTACCCTCCAAAATGGGTCTAGTAATACTTACAGAGGTAGTGTAAAATTAATCTAATAAACATAAGCTTAGACCTAGCACATTGAAGACATTCAACAAATGTAGTTCCTGATATACAACAAGCAACGCTGTGCCTCGCACTCATAATGGTAGTTCAACACACAAGTTTCTGTGATGATATAAACCCATTATGCTACATTTAACATAAACGGTTCTTATCAACCTTTACTCTTAAGCAACAGAAAACATACTTAATGACACCGAAACAAGGTTAATCTAGCCTAAAACAAAAATCTAAAAAGTGTATATAATCTGACATCAATGTTTAAATAAATCTCTAAAGTTGAAAACACATGAAAATTAGTATACTGAGACAGCTTAATTGAATAAGCACAGAACACCTAAACTCTGGGGAAAGTGACCCTCCATCACGTCCAGTCCAGCTCCAATGGCCTGCAAACCTCATTTCTCTCCGGGAGCTCTGCCACAATGTCCCTCCCAGGCTGCACCAGAACTGGCACCAGGCAGCCGGCTGACAAAGCCGCTTGCAGTATTTCTCAGCAGGGAGCTCACAGCCTTTCCAAGCAGGGCACTTAGCAGAGTGGCGGCTGCAACTTCCTTCTAAAGGCAATTCTTTAGAAGCTTTTGCTGCAGTGGCAATTTGCATAATAGTCTTGCCTCTATAGTGTTTTTTTTTTTTTTCAAAAATAAATCTGTGAATATAAAACTGATCAAAGAGAACTATCTTAGGCAGCCCTTGCTCATTACAGCCAAAAGAGATTATTTTTTTTCTGACTCTAGTCTTCACAAATGAAACATCAACTTTTTGAGGAAGTATCTATAAAAGATTTTAGTGTTAAAAAATTCTTTCTACACTCTCATAGTTAGAAAGTATTTATGGACAGGAAACTGTAAAGGTAGTACAGAACAAAGCACACAGGCAATCCAGTGGAAAGCCTGAAAACATGAAATTGCAGCCAAACGACTACAGCTGGATGCTAGCTCTCTTGCACAACTGAGTCCACAAAAGCTCTGTGCCTCAGTTTCCTCATGTGTAATATCAGATCTTAGCTGTACCTACCAAATGAGTTAGTATTTGCAAAGTGCTCAGAAGAGTGTCTAGCACATGGCAAGTGCCCTACTAGTGTCTGGTAAATAAATAAAACACTATGACTGGAATATTACAGAGCTTACCTCAAAATAAAACTTTGAAATTCCAGTACCCAACAATCAGTGGAGGATGGTGATTCACTCACTGACTTCATCCTTCAGCAGTTTTTATTGAACACCCATTCTAGCCAGTGTAGGTTTAACAAAATGAGGGGAAAACAACTGCTCCATCCCCAACTCTCTAAGTTATCACCGGTTATTTCCAGGAAACTCTGATCTTGAGATGTGAACTCTGCCTCTATAGTGTTAGCAAACTAATTTAAGCTCCTTCCCACTTCGGAATAGCAGACCCCATCAAACTGCAGAGTTCTAACAACCACATGAAAACCTGCTCAGTGGCAATGGCATGCCTTAGCCCATCGACATAAATGAGGCGCTACACATGCTTCTCATCTGATAGAGGAAAAGGGAGAAAGAACAAAGCAAACTTGAGTGAGAGAATCATGTGAACACAACCACTTTGTTCTCTAAAGCAAATAAAGTGGGGCTATCATAATGACAAAGAGGTAAGAAGTTTAAACATCAGGAATATCTACTAGTCATTTTAAAGCAGGGTACATTTGATGATTTTTTTTTTTTTTTTTTTTTTTTTGAGACGGAGTCTGGCTCTGTCGCCCAGGCTGGAGTGCAGTGGCCAGATCTCTGCTCACTGCAAGCTCCGCCTCCCGGGTTCACGCCATTCTCCTGCCTCAGTCTCCCGAGCAGCTGGGACTACAGGCGCCCGCCACCTCGCTAGTTTTTTTTTTTGAATTTTTAGTAGAGACGGGGTTTCACCGTGTTAGCCAGGATGGTCTCAATCTCCTGACCTCGTGATCCGCCCGTCTCGGCCTCCCAAAGTGCTGGGATTACAGGCTTGAGCCACCGCGCCCGGCCCATTTGATGATTTTATATACATTTTCCAGCTAAAGTGACTTCTACTCTCAACAATATAACATGTACCTAACCTAAAGAAGGTTTCAAAAGAAAACCAGGATGGGTGCAGTGGCTCACGCCTATAATCCCAGCACTTCAGGGGGCCAAAGTGGGTGGATCACTTGAGGTCAGGAGTTTGAGACCAGCCTGGCCAACATGATGAAACCCTGTCTCTACTAAAAATACAAAAAAATCAGCTGGACGTGTGGTGTGTACCTGTAATCCCAGGTGCTCAGGAGGCTAAAGCAGGAGAATCACCTGAACCTGGGAGGCAGAGGTTGTAGTGAGCCAAGATCACACCACTGCATTCCAGCCTGGGCAACAGAGTGAGACTCCGTCTCAAAAAAAAAAAAAAAGAAAGAAAAAGAAAACTGAAGTTTACATATCTTGATGATGACCATTTTTTGATGCTTTTCTTCTTCCTTTCAAAAAATCAGACAAATATCTGACAGATCCAAAACATAATTGAGTATCTACAACATGCCAGGAGCATAAAGATCACAAAGTTGTAGGCTACAGGAGAATAAAACTTGATCCTTGACTTTAGGAAGATTATAAACTGGTTACAGAGATAAAGACAAACCTGAAAGACTAGTAATACAAAACACTTAGAGTATAAGCACCAAACAAAAGACATAAATAGCAAATAGTATTTGGTAACTCAGGAGAAAGGAAAAATCACACTCAATTTAGACAGAAATCTGTGTGTGTGTGTGTTTTCTTCTTTTTTGAGATAGGGTCTCACTGTGTGACCCAAGCTGAAATGTAGTGGTGCAATCACGGCTCACTATAGCCTCAACCTCTGGGTTCAAGAGATTTTCCCATCTCAGCCTCCCTAATAGCTGGTACTACAGGTGTGTGCCACCATGCCCTACTAATTTTTGCATTTTTTGTAGAGACAGGGTTTTGCCATGTTGCCCAGGCTGGTCTCGAACTCCTGGGTTCAAGCAATCCACCCACCTCAGCCTCCCAAAGTGTTAGCATTACAGGTCTAAGCCACCACTCCTGGCCCAGAAGTCTTATAGATGAGGGGAAATCTGAGCTTGGAGACCACAGGATACAAAAAGAAGAGGGGAGAGGGTTGAGCATTCTCTCTCATCACACACTAACAGAACCTCTTGTACAGTTTTCCCAAAACTAGGAACTCAGTCTCCAGGGAAAAAGAGAAACACAGAAAGCTGCAAAACCGAAGACCCAAATGTCTCTACCTTTGAGGGTCAGGTCGGCCTCCATACTTAAGCCCGTCCCTGGTGATTCAGACAAAAGACAAGGCCCAGAGAGACAGAGTGACTTGTCCAGGGTCTCCTAGCTATTTGAGGCACAGTGACTGGAGCCCTCAACTGCTGACTTCAGGTCCAAAACACTCAGTTATGGCTGACTAGGTGACTACAACCTGCTTCCGGCATCTGTGTCAGGTTCTGCCAAAAATTAGCTGTGTGGCTTTAGCAAGGTATTTTGCCCCTGTGGGGTTCATGCCTCTTCATTTGAAACGAGTCTGAATTAGATGAGGCGATTCTTCCAGGTTCCACGTGGCTTTAAAGATTAAGGTTCCAAGCCAGAGATGCTGACGTGTCTGTTGGTTCTTGCCTTTTCTTGATGAAGAGATGAAGTGAACCTGGAGAACAGATCGCAGGAGTCTGCCAGGATCTGGGCTTGAACATTTGCTAAAATGGATCATTAGGAGATAGCACTGAACACCCACTGCCACAGGTCCTTCGTCAGGCCTTCCTGACAAAACATGCTCCACCTGGGCTTACCTGGCCAAAAGTGTGCAGGCACCTGGCATGCTGAGCTCTAGTGGTGGGGCCACTTGTGTAGTGTTTCCTGTTAGGCCAGTCAGCCTTGAGCCTGGTATAACTTAGAGATGCTCAAGAAACAGAAGACCCAAGTCCAATCCCTTATAATAACAATTCCATCAATAATAACAACACTAATGGAGCGCTTACTATGTGCTAAGTTTTTCTGAGAGCTTTACATGTATCAACTCAAGGAGTCCTCAGAACTCTAGGAGGTAGGCATTACTTTCACCCCTCCCAACTTTTTTTTCACAAATAAAGAAACTGAGATACAGAAGATACTTGCCCTAGCAGTACAACTTGCGATTTAAACAACTTGGCTCCAGAGTTTGTGGTCTTAAACACTGGGCTGTTCTTGAAATAATCACATAATCAAATAATATAATCACATAATAATCAACCTTCCATTGTTTTAAATGAGTAAGAGAAAGCCCGTCTTTCTCATCACAGTCACAATCTCACATAATCTTGCCAAGTCTTTGAGGAAGGTACAAGTTTCCCTGTTTTACAAATAAGGAAACTAAGGCTCAGACAGGTAGACTGACTTGCCTAGTTAGCGGGACAGCTTGCAATTAAACCCAAATTCCTTGACTCTAAACCTCATGTTCTGTCCACAGAACCATAATTGCATGCATCCTCTTTTAAGTTCCCTTCTTAAACAAGTATTCTGGGGTCCTATGAAGAAACAAAAACCAACATACCTATCTCCTCCAGAAGTTTACCATCTAGTGGAGGAGACAAAGTATCATGATCAAACATGTGCTTTGCTAGGGGACCCACACAAAGCTGTGGCAACAGAGAGGTGGGGCATATAACCAAGAATGACAGAGAAAAAGCACAACTTGGCTTGGAAGGACAGGTGGGAATCGGCCGGCGAAGGGCAGACTGTAGACAGTCTGGACACCTGGGAGAACTGAGAATCAACCTATATAAGTGAGGCACAGAAGTTTATAGGCCTGTGATGAGAGATGACACAGGTGCCAGGCAGACAGGGGCCAATCCAGATGTGCTCAGAGGACCATGTGAAGGAGCCTGGGCCTTATCATGAGGGGAAATCTGTGTGTGCGTGACTGTGTGGAGAACTCTGGCTACAAAGAGAAGGATGGCATTTGATGCACAATATGGAAAGCTCTCAGCCAAGGCACCCAAAAATGTGCATGGCCTGGGCAGTCAGTAACATCCAGAACTCAAAATGAAGTTATAGAAATCAAATTTTGACTGAGTTACCCAAGACAATGAAAAATCACATCACAAATCTTCCTCTTCCCAAGATCCTGCCACCTTGCCCACTCTTAACTTGCAGGCAAGTTCCATTACAGATCTGCTGCTAGCAATGTGCTTTTCGGAATGTCTGCTTCTGTCTTCCATGCTTCAGTTATTCAGCATGTAGAATGGGCCACAAGGCACCCTGTCTATCTCAAATGAATACCAGAAAGATCAGAAGTGGCTGCAACATGTAGGGAAATAAGCCTACTAAGTCAATGAAACACAATTTTAGTTCTGGTATTGAGCTCACAGCTTTGGAAAAGCCATTTCACCTCACTGCTCCTCAGTAACTATCTGCAAAAAAGAAACAGGCCACCTACAGTGTTACACCCTGCTCTAAAATTCCATCATTTTATTTGAAATATATTCTGAATAATCTGAAAGTAAAATATCACCAATTATAAGATGCACATTTTCCCTCAATTTTACTATTTCTGAAACTGGACTGATTTTAATAACGGATGATGTGTCATACTGTCATGGGCAGCATGTTTTTCTAAATAAAACGTCTTACATTCAATAATGCTTTAAGTTTGCTCAGGCTGGACACAGTAACTCACACCTGTAATTTCAGCACTTTGGCAAGGCCAAGGCAAGCAAATCGCAGGAGTTCGAGACCAGCCTGGGCAACATGGCAATACCTCATCTCTACAAGATACAAAAATTATCCAGGTGTGGTAGCATGTGCCAGCTACTCGGGAGGCTGAGGTAGGAGAATCACTTGAGCCCAGGAGGCAGAGGCTGCAGTGAGCCGAGATCGTGCCACAGCACTGCAGCCTGAGCAACAGACTGAGGCCCTGCCTCAAAATAAGTAAATTAAACAGTGTGCTCAAACACGGTAAGTTAAAGTTGTCCTTTTTCCCTTTCTCAGCTGGTCACCAAGTTCAGAGAACTCAGTAGAAAAACAGGGCTGGAATCTGTCCAGGGACATTCCCTGAAACACTTGGGGGAAAAAAACATCTCTTCTAGATTCAGCTGTTTCCATTTGCGTGGTTGTGACTATATGTGTGTCCCAGCCCGGGCTATGAGCTCTCTGAGGGCAGGGGTTCAGTCAGCTTGATCTATCTCCCCAGGGTCCTAGACATTTGCCAGGTTTCAGTGGTTGCAATTTATCAATGCTGTGCCTGAAGCAATAAAACTGCCTCCACAGGAAGCCAGCAGTAGCCATTGCCACTAGCTCAGGTCACCAGTGGTCAAGGTGCTGACTGCTCAAGTCCCTGAGTCCCCCTTGCTGGGATCTGGACACTGAGATTACCACTCACCAGTACATCCCTGAAGAGTAACTGCGGCCCAGAGTGCACTGTCCAGTCCACCGCGCCACTATTTGGGATCTTGATGCGAATTACCAGCACCTGGTTCTCCATGGCAGGAAAAGGGCCAAGGGCTAGCCACAGCATTACAGGTTAAAGAGGCTCACATCCTTGGGTAGGGGATACCCACTGGCCGCTGGTTAGGAAGAGGTTCCAAGAGGTGACAAGGGGAGTGAGGGGCAGAGGACAGAGGGTGAAAACAAGGGACTGGCGGATGAGGGGGTGGGAAGAGGGGAGGGGTGATCAGGCACGCACCCGCAGGCACCGAGCCTGCCCAGGCTGTCGGGGGTCTGAGGTGTCTCCCGGGGAGGGTGCACCGGGAAGCGGGCAGAGGCCCGCAGGAACTAGCTGAGGTCGGAAGGTTCTGGAGTTGAGCGAACGCTATGGTGAAGCTCTCTGCCGCCGTGTGGGTGTGAGGAGGCGGCAGGGCAAGGACTCGGTTTGCGGGAGATACAGCGGCAGGTGTCCACCGCTCGTCAGTGGACTAGGAGAGGGTCCTCGACTGGAGGGACTCAGTCTGGGGCTATTAAGAAAGAGCCCCAGGGCCGCCACACTATGGAGAGTCCCCACGGGAGGGTCAAGGGGCGAGTCTTCTGCCCCACCCGGAGACACAGGGCGCGGCGCGCGCAGGCTGAGCTCCGGCCACCCGAGGCCGCGCGGACCGGCGGCGGCAGCAGCGGCGGCGGCGGCGACGGCGGTAGCGGCAAGAGGAGGAGGAGGAAGGCGGCGGCGACACTGTTACTCCGGAACCAAAACGCGCGGCGCCGGAACCCCGGGAGCCAACGAGCGGGACCCGCCTCCCGCGGCGCCATGTTGGAAAAGGGCAGCGGCTCCCGGGAGGACGCACCCCCGGCGCTGGGAGCTGAAGAAGCGGCGCGCGGCGTGTGGCGCGTGGCGCGTGGCGAGTCGGGGAGAGACTGGTCCTGCTCGCTCCAGAGACCCTCTTCACCCGCGCCCGCGGAGACCAGGTCACGGCTCTTTCGTTTCCTGACCCTGCTTAATGACAGCGAAGTGAAAACATCTACCAAACGAAGGGTGAAAATGATCTAGGGCTGGAGTCCGCCAAAAGCCAATTTAAGGCTTAACATTGCAGACCGTTTGTCTTTACAAAAGCTTCAAAGACTGGGCTGCAGCTCCCAGTTATCCCCACTTTGTCAAGCCATGCATCTGAATGTTCGTGGGGTTGTGTGCATCGAATCAGCAAGAGCAAGGCAAGAACTCAAGAAATAGTTATCTTTTTTTTATCCCCCCCTTACAAGTCACAGGTTCAGAGGATCATCTTTCTCCCACATTAGCAAAACGTATTTGCATTTTTCAGTGAGGTTCTTTACCCCACCAGTGCCCTAAAATAGCAAACAGTTGCCTGTTCAAAAGCAATAGTAAAGAAATTCACTGAAGAGTTTAATTGCCTGGGGACAGCTGCAGTAGTCGCATCATCGTCTCTTATTAAACTGTTGCAGAAATATTCGGTCTAGCCCATGTATTTTCAACTAAATAGCACTGCTTACGCAGTTGGTGATATCACGGAAGTAGCAATAAACCTTGGTTATCTTTTTTTTTTGTTTGTTTTTGAGAGTCTCGCTCCGTCGCCCAGGCTGGAGTGCAATGGCGCGACCTCTGCTCACCACAACCTCCGCCTCCCGGATTCAAGCGATTCCCCTGCCGTCCCCCGCGCCCCGGTAACTGGGACTACAGGCGGGCGCCATCGTGCCCGCTCATTTTTGTATTTTCAGTAGAGACTGGGTTTCACTTTGTTGGCCAGGCTGGTCTCAAACTCCTGACCCACCTCAGCCTCCCAAAGTGCTGAGGGATTACAGGTGTGAGCCACCGCGCCTGGCCAACCTTGGTTATCTTCAAATGCGTTGTTATCTCAGATTTTAAAGTGCATAGTCTTGTAGAATGATGATGCCTCTACAGAGGTTTGTTTACAAATTGTAACGTGTAGGTTCGTCCTTTATCTCTTTCTTATGAAGGTGCACGAATTGGCTCTACTTTTTGGGGTTGAATTTTGTATAAACTCGGTTGAGGAGGTGTGTCAGTTTCCCTTCTAACAGTAAGGTGCTTGATTAATGTGAGAAAAAAATTAATGTTGGTCATTTTCAGTTACAATACCAAAATTTTTCTGCATACTTTACTCTGAGTTACTTTTATATTTAATTTGAAAGTCCATTGTAGGAGATAAATTATCACTTTTTAAGTTACTGTAAATTAATATCTTAGGTAGAAATTCATTTAGTCAGATCCTTCAGATATTCTAGGAATTGCCCCTTTTCACCAGCACTTCACTTTTGTGAAAAATAAACTGTTCATCAAAAGTCCTCATGTACTTTTATTAAAAGTTCATTTCCTATTATTTTAGAAAATAGACCACGAAACTAGAGATTTTCTATGAATCTGTGATTTGTTAAAATGTCTCTTTTATTCGAAGTACCATGGGGAAAACCAACTCAATTTGCCAAATTTGCATACATATTCTGAAGCTTTTCCTACGATAATGGCAAACTCATATTTCTTTCCCAATATTTGCAGAGCCAGTATAATTACACGTCAGCTCTTCGTAGCCTTTATATAGTAAGAAATCTTAACTTTGATGATTTGAGGAAGGATTTTCCAGAAAGTTCTAACTCTCATTGCGAGAAGCATCATAATCACTGATAATACAAGACCATTCCATTTGGTATCATAAATGACAAAATATAACTTTTTGATCTTTACCAAAATGAATAAACTACTGTGTAAATTTAAGGAATATTTAGTATTTGACATGGAAGTTGTATGTGATCTTAAGACGTTTGCATTTAGTACTTTTTTCTTTTTTTTAAATTTTTTTTTTTTTTTTGAGGCGGAGTCTCACTGTGTCACCCAGACTGGAGTGCACTTGCACAATCTCGGCTCACTGCAACCTCCATCTCCCAGGTTCAAGCAATTCTCCTGCCTCAGCCTCCCAAGTAGCTGGGACTATAGGCACGCGCCACCATGCCCAGCTAATTGTTGTACTTTTAGTAGAGACGAGGTTTCACCACGTTGGCCAGGCTAGTCTCGAACTCCTGACCTCAAGTGATCCACCCCTTAGCCCCCTAAAGTGCTAAGATTACAGGCATGAGCCACCGCACCCAGCCTTTTTTCTTTTTAAATGATACAAATCAAGATAGTCACTCAGGTACTGGCTGAGATAGTTTACTAGCCATTAAGCAAACTTACTGTAAAAAAAAAAACAAAAACCTGTGCTTACTTGTAGTGTTCCTACTTGAGGGATCACTAAGTGTAACAGAAAATCCCTCCCCTCATGAAGTTATATTCTGATGGGGAACACAGTCAAACGAGTAAAATATATGTTAGATAGTAGTAAATGCTAAGAGAAAAATAAAATCAGAAGGGAAAATGGTAAAACAGTGAGTGCACCAGTGTGATAACACTTAAGAATATGAAAACTGGCCTATATTGGCTTCTGTTAGCTGGCAAATTTAACTGAAAATAGACACATTACTGAAAAGTTAGATGTCTAGTGATTTTTTTTAATTGTGATAAAATACACATAAAATTTACTGTTGTACTCATTTTGAAGTGTACAGATCAGTAATGTTACATACATTTACCCTGTTATGCAGCCAATCTCCAGATTTTCATCTTGCAAAACTGAAGCTCTATATTATTAAACAACTGCCCACTTCCCCTTCCCTCCAGCCCCTGGCAACCACCAATCAACTTTCTATTTCTATGAATTTGACTACTCTGGATACCTCATATAAATAGAATCATACAGTGTCTGCCTTCTTGTGACTGGCTTATTTCGCTTAGTATAATGCCTTCAAGGTCCATCCATGTTGTAACATGTGTCAGCATTTCCTTTTTCTTTTTGTATTTTTAGTAGAGACAGGATTTCGCCATGTTGGCCAGACTGGTCTCGAACTCCTGACCTCAGGTGATCCGCCCACCCTGGCCTCCCACAGGCGTGAGCCACCACCCCTGGCCATTTCGTTCCTGTTTAAAGCTGAACAAAATTCTGTTGTGTGTATATAACACATTGTGTTCATCCATTCATCTATCAATGAACATTTAAGTAGTTTCCACCTTTTGGCTATTGTGAATAAAGCTGATATGAACATGGGGGTACAAATATCTGTTCCTGTCTCTGCTTTTGACTTTTTGGGATGTATACTCAAAAGTGGAATTGCTGGATAATATTTTCTATGTTTAATTTTTTGAGGAATCACCATGCGGTTTTCCATAGTGGCTGTACCATTTTACATTCTCACCAAAAGTGCATTAAGAGTTCCAATTTCTCCACATTTTCACCACCACTTATTTTCTGTATTTCTGTTATTTTCTGTATTTGTTTATAGTAGCTATCCTGTTGGGTATAATGTGATATCTCACTGTGGTTTTAATTTGTATTTCTCTAATGATTAGTGACGTTGAACATCTTTACCTAGTCTTGTTGCTCATTTGTATATCTTCTTTGGAGAAATACCTATTGAAGTTTTTTGCCCATTTTATGTATTTATTTATTTATTTATTTTTGAGACAGAGTCTTGCTCTGTCTCCCAAGCTGGAGTACAGTGGCGCGATCTCAGCTCACTGCAACATCCGCCTCCCAGGTTCAAGGGATTCTCCTGGCTCAGCCTCTCAAGTAGCTGGGACTACAGGTGTGTGCTACCACACCCAGCTAATTTTTGTATTTTTAGTAAAGACAAGGTTTCACCATGTTGGCCAGGCTGGTCTCGAACTCCTAACCTCAGGCGATCCGCCCACCTCGGCCTGCCAAAGTGCTGGGATTACAGGTGTGAACCACCACACCTGGCCTTTTTTTTTGCCCATTTTAATAGGGTTATTTTGTTGTTGTGATTTATTTTTTTAAGGAGGAAAATTACATTTTGCTGTTATAAATTCAAAGAAGTTTTCTTTCATCTCTTATTACCTTGATCCCAATATCGAATCCTTAACCCAGAATCTGAGCCTTTCTCACCACCTTCACTGCTACTACCCGAGTCCAAACTATTCTTTCATCTTCTGTTTTCACCCTTGCCCCTACTACCAGCAGTATTATCTACCCAGTTGCCACAGTTAGATCAGGTCACTTGTTTGACTAAAACTCTACAGACAGCTTCCTATCTTGTGCAGGAAAAAAGCCAAAATCCTTTTCTTGGCCTACAACAGTCTACACATTCTGCCCCTCATCCCATCTAAACTCTCAAACTTCATTTCCTGCCACTCTCCCTCACTCATACCAGCCTCCTCCTCACTGTGCCTTGAAAGTGTCCCACATCCCACTTCAGGGCCTTTGCATTTGCCATTTCCTCTGCTTGGATTGCTCTTAACCTAGGTATCTGCATGGCTCTTCCCTCATATTCTGTAGGTCTTGACTCAAAGGTCACCTTGTTGCTGAGTGAGGCTCTCCCTTGGCACATTATCGAGATTGCAGGCCATCCTCAAACCCATAGATACAAGGATGAAGGCATGCATGATTCCTAATCCTCTTCCCTAGTTTATTTTTCTCCTGGCGCTTATCACTATTTTTTTTTTCTTTCTGTTTTTGAGACAGGGTCTGGCTCTGTCGCCCAGGCTGGAGTGCAGTGGTGAGATCTCAGCTCAATGTAACCTCCACCACCTGGGCTCCAGCGATCCTCCCACCTCAGCCCCCTGAGTAGCTGTGACCACAGGTGTGCACCACCACGCCCAGCTATTTTTTTGTATTTTTAGTAGAGACAGGGTTTCACCATGTTGGCCAAGTTGGTCTTGAATTCCTGGGCTCAAGTGAACTGCATGTCTCCCAAAGTGCTGGGATTACAGGCATGAACCACCACACCCTGCCCATT